CGCCATAATATGTGCTGGAGTGGACGATATTCAGGCGCTACCAGCACCTGACGATACATTTTACAAATGTCGGCAGTGAACGCGAACGTGTGCACCCGAAATCTGGTCAAAATGTCCACTATGTCCTGCTGCAACTTGGGACCTTGATACATACAATTATTTAGTGACGTCCCGTCATGGGACACCGCGGAAGCGTCGAATACGACGCGAATTTTAAAGTCACCGTTGGACTGTGTGCACACTGCATGGTGGGGGATGATGTACTGCCCGGGGCTCGTGGCCACGGACATGTGACCGAGCGCGAGGTATTCAGACATGAAGTCACAATATGCTCCGCGCAGAGATGTGTCGGACGTCAGTTTCCGTTCGAGGGACTCGAAACGCTTGAGCGCGACGGATCGTGAGCCCGGGAACGACAATTGTGGTACTGGCTTACGCGTTGGTAGCGGCACTTGAAACCGACCGGAAGGCAGTCGCTGGTGTTCGGCGCGGAATTGACTCTCACACCAACCATCGTCGGTAAAAGACGGCGGAGCTGCGTCTGGTTCTTCGACGGTCCAAAATTTATCCATCAGAGCTTCAATGGACGTAGCTAAGGACACCGGTGTAGTGATGAGATGACAGGTGGCCGCCGCCGGAATTGGCCCGATTAGGACCCAACCGAAGATTGAACTAAAAGCTGTGGGTAAGGCTTCGTCGATTTTAATTTGTCGACCGTCCAGAATGGCGGAAAATACGTCGGCCCCAAGCAACATGTCCACCGGAGATGCCACGTTGAACTGTGGATCGGCAAGTGCGAGTGTGGAAAAACGATCCTTGATATCCGCGGGAAGCGAGGCGCGCGGCATGTCACTTGTAATAGACGGCAGTACCCAGGCTTGGACAGTTAAAGCGGGTTTGGTCGCGAACCGCGGCCTGATGTGACACTCGACGACACCCTTTACGTTGACAACAGGCGTGCCGGATATGCCACTTACCGGCATTGTCCACGGACGAGGACGGAAACCAAGGCGGGTTGAACACGCCACTGTCATGGCACTAATCTGGGACGCGGAATCGACCAGAGCGCGAACCGTTTGCCAAGATCCGGCCCTATCGCGCACGTGAATTAACGCGGTGCCTAACAAGACCGTTGGTATCGTATTCGAACGCGGCGCCAACGCGGCTGCGCAACACGACGGTGTTTCCCCCCCCCCACTATCACCGCCTTCCTCTTGGCGGGTGGGAGTAACACCATGTAACAATGTGTGATGTTTTTTCGAACACTGGTGACATCGCGACTTTGACGAACAGGCGCGGATAAAATGATTACCGCTGAGGCAATTAAAACAAACTTTATTTTCATGGGCCCATCGATTCCGAACGTCCAATGACCATGATCGGAACTTCGGACACGTGCTGATGCTGTGCGAACCCTGACAGCATGAACATAAACTGGTAGTAGTCTGCGAATGACGCTCCGTTGGTTTCGCAGCGACGAGCGCTACGGGATTACTCTTCCCCGCGCGGTGACTGACGTACGGCCCGGTAACAGGTTGTGGCTTCGGCTTGGCACTAGTCTTCCGCGGCTCGCCCACATTTTCTAAGACGGTAATACGATCCCGC